ATGAACATATCTTTTATAAAACATTTCATGAAGCAGCTAAGATTTCCTTCGACGAATGTGCAATTTACTTTTATCATTCACATACAGTCAAACCTCGGTTTTCGAACGTCTCGGTTCTCAACCAATTCGGTTTTCGACCAAAAATTTTGAGCTTTTTTTATGCCTCAGATCACGCACAAATTTCGGTTCTCGAACAAACTGAGCACACTTGAATGCACCCTTTGACTCCTCTCGCCTTCCTTACACGAGGAAGTGACGCTTCCTCGTTTTGCTTTCCATTGTGAGCAGATGTGTTCAATAAACATTTTTATTTTAAAAAGAGCGTGGTTTCGGTTTTCGAACAATTCGGTTTTCTGCCCTGTGTGATTGCTTTTTCCCCATCACCATGTACATTTTTGGTGCATCTTGGGTGTATAACGATGAACGGCCCGATGAGAAATGAATGATCGTCAGGCCAGGCCATTTGGTTTATAGCAACGTCATATTTTATTCTAATTTCCAATAAACAGAGAATATATCAGTCCCTTATTTGTACAAAAAAATACCTGAACAGGATACAATGTCGATCCAGGAGCTGTGTAGACACTTACAGAATATGAAGCAAAAGCACAAAAAGAACATGAGTGAAACACAATTCACGTGTGGACCTTTTTTTTTTCTTCCCCGTTTTCCTTTCCCTGACACGTTTTGTTGTTTGAATGGAGCTTATGATGACTGAGCTTATGAAAACACCGTTGACAATTGGACTTGTTTGGCTTGACGACAACTGAGTGGAAAATCAAGAACAAGCGGATGGACCGTACGAAGAAACCGGAGGCACCACGACGTCGACTCCTACGCTGAAAAACGCAGACTGTCTTTCATGACTGAAAGCTGCTACTAAAATCCCCAAAGAATATACATCCATGGAAACAACACTGGTGTGTGCGCGCGGTTAGTGACCAAAATATTTCCTGCAAAATTGAAATGGAAAGGTGACATCCAATGCAACACTATCAGAGAGGTGCTAACTGAACATCACATGAAACAAAGAGAATCAAGTACAAGTATCAGGGCTACCCAAAGTAGAACAAAACTTAAAAATTCAATCAGAGAACTACAACGGTCAATATTAGGAAACATAGTAATGAGTCACGGGAAGAACGTAATCTGATGAGAAGTTATCATTTTATGGGAATATGGTCACAAGATTACCACAAATATCATTCACTCACTAAAATAATAAATACGACTTTTTGGTTGGAATTTAGCACCCCCCACCCCCCCCCCAAAAAAATCGGATATAATTATCTGTAGGGTTTTTTTTTTAATTAAAATGTGTGACTTTTTATCACCCAGAGAAAATAACTAATTTTTTGCCCTCAATTATCATTTTTTATTGAAAAAAAGTATTTTACTTGCATATGTTCCGACTTTTTTCCCCTACTGAATATTAGGAGATTTTTCTTGCAAACATACACCTTATTTCTTCAAAAAAACAAACAAACAAAAAAAAATCCATGAAAGTCACACTTTTCCCCTCGGAAAAAACCCCCGACTTATTTCTCAGAAGTTTGGGACTTTTTTCACCCCTCCGTGACAAATATAAAAATTCAAACTTTTTCCATTGAGAATTTGTAACTCCGCCCACTACGTTTTTTTCAGTTCATATTACGACTTTGTTCATATGGCTGTCCTTGCTTCATCTGTAGCGACAATACATGATCCGTCTTGTAACATTAAAACTTTTGTCTTGTAGCTTTAAAGAATTTTGTCTCACAAGTTTACCATTTTTTCGTTACTCGGTGTGACCCTAATACGAGTGAAGTTGGACGAGTTTGAAGTCTTAAAATAAAAATTTGAGCATGTTAAATTAATACTATATGTAGTGTCTATACGGTCATTTTGTGACAAAAAAAAAAAAGATCAGTAAATACACAATAATGTCAATGTACACATCATGAACAAACGAATGAAGGACAAAATAGCATTCTTCATTTTACACGGCGTTATGGGCAAAGCCTAACAGCCATACATAGTGATCTTTGACCTAAGGTACAGTGTTGGAGCTCCACCATAGTCTTCACATATTCATTTGGAAACCAAGGATGCACTAGATGGCTGTTTCATGTTGGACACAGTGATTTCAAATGAAAAGAAAGAGAGGGGGTGTGGGGGGGGTGTAAAAGTGTCTACTGGTGTCTCGTGATGTGGTTCAACTTCCCCCTCCTCTAATGACGTAAGAATCTAATGCATCCCTTCACTTTCCTGACTTTCCGTACTGTCTCTACAAGGCAAGTTGGATGACCAGCAGTTAACAATAACAGTCGAGCCATACACTCGCTAACTCTCTCACGCATACACACACACACACACGCACACACAAATATTTATTCACCACAGGCTCATAGCTTACAGGCTGGACACAGGTGGGAGCAAGTGGGCTGCAGGGGGGGGGTTCAAGCATTTTCCAATCCCTGGAGAGAGTCCGCCCCGGTTGGTCACGTGGGGCAAAGTGACATGGCGCTGCGCCTTGTGCTAACCCTGCTCTGGTACAAGATGGATTTTGCGGTAGGGTGGGAGGGAGTTATTAAAGGGCGGGGGAATGACTTTTGGAACATCCTTCCACGCAAGACAAGAACTCAACAAAGAAAACTACAGTTTGGATTGATTAAAAAAAAAAAAAGTTGAATGTTCAAACTATTTGTGTAGCAATCAACACGATGATATTTCTTACTATTAAGCGGCATCCAAGACATTCACGTCAATACAAACAAGCATATTGTCGTTGTTTATCAAATAGGTAGAAACCATCTTTCAGTTTCATTTCCCAGGAAATGAATCAAATGTTAGTCCAAAGATTTCAAAGAGCTAGCCGAATGTACAGCTCATTAGTGCCAGAAAACACCCCCAAAAGCCTCGTTGCTTGCTGAAATGCGTAGTGCAGCAGAAAACAACTAAATACAACTTGAGTGAATAATACCTGGAAGGACCCCCCCCCCCCCGAAAAAAAAGGAATAATCCTTTGTGTTGGATTAAATGAAGAACATGAGCTATCAGAGACGGTTTTAGGTGGAGTTTGAAAGCCAGGCTTGTGGCCGTTTGTTGCCCCATAGTTAGTATATAGTTGCGACAGTGGCATCTGTTCCCCCCCCCACCCCCCCAAAAAAAGGTTAATCATTGCTGTGTGTGCATCTTCATATATACGTTTCAATTGTATGTACAAGGCTCATTGTTTCCACTTAAGGCAAGTGAAGCTCATTTGATTGTGTGTTTGATGCGCAGTCAGCTGAGTTTCACACTTCAAGTCTTTTTGTTCGTTTCCACGCTTAAACAAAACAAAAAAAAAACCCAAAACAAAATCAAAAAACAATAATCGTGGGAGTGCTTTTCTTTGATTTGTCTTTTCTG